CCCAGTGGCTTAAAACTCACACCAGGTGCGTGTGCGTGCGTGCCCAAGATCCCGAGAGGAGAATGGAGAAGGGATTGCGGCGTGACCATCCCCTCTGGGGGGTGATTTCTCGCTTTCTGTCTCTATGTCTCTCTCTGTCTGGCTAGCGCACGTGCCCTATAGCAAAAACTCTCCAAAAAAAAAGAAATTACTGTTCTGGAACTATAATGCCCAATAGGAAAAAAATCTGACCAATGATCTTTTAAATTTATAATAAATTTTACCTTTTAGATTTATTTATGCATCTACAACCTCAGTCTATGATTGGAATTGATATTCAGCTTTGGCACTTCAGCCAAATAATTTTATTTATTTATTTATTTATTTATTTATTTATTTAGGAGAGGTTTTTGCTAGGGCGCGTATGCTCGCCAGACAGAGAGACAGAGAGACAGATTCTGATTCTGTCAACAGATAAACTAACCTTTGATTGTAAACTTTAAATAAGGTATGTACAAACCAGATTCTCTGACAGAATCTGCACTGATCTTCAATCGATTTATAAATGCTTTCTTCTTAACACTTTTAACCTACGCCTGTGCACAATGACAGCACCGCCCATGCTCAGCCTGGCCACCAGTGGAATACCAGGTCCCGCTAATATAAGTAAATAAATGCAAGTCCTACTCTGCTGGACCTCTAGCATGTTCTCTGGAATTGGTAACCACCATGGGCAAGCCCTCTCAGATCCGGGGCTTCCCCAGTCAAGGACAAGCTCTGTAGATTGCACTCTCCTCTCCCCTCCCCCTTTGCCCTATCTCCCTGAGACTCAGCTGTTGGTCTGGCTGGGCCTCCTGAATGTCTGGTGACCTCTTCCTTACCACATGGAACTGGATCACCACTGGGGCTGTTCCAGAGGTATGAGTCCCTCCCCACATGAACATCCCAAGGCACTGTTAATGTACAAGCTCTGGAGACTCTCGCTAACTTGTCCTTTTATTGTAAGCCTCAAACAATGTATGAAGGAACCAGACCCCTGCCTTGGAGATAGAGAGTCCATGCTGAACGTATAGGTGACGTGCGTCTTCCTTCATCTTAACACGCATAACCCAAGCCTATGCCCGTGGTGCCACAGACCACTCTCCACCCAACTCAGCAGTGCATCCTTTCCGATGAAAGTAAATTCATGCCGTACCCTGCTGGGTCTCCGGGTATGTTCTTTGGAATCAGTAAGCATTTTAGGGAAGCCCTCTCAGCTTTGGGGCTCTCTCTGAGACCCTCCCCCGATCCTTAATTTTGCCCATAAAAATGTGTGTGGGGAACTCCTCAGGGAGACCAGGTTTTTCCAGCATGAACTGCCTGCTCTCCTTGCTTTGCACATGGCAATAAAGCCACACCTTCTCTCACCACATCTCGAGTCCGTAGTCTGACTTATGCAAATGAACCTGGTTTGAGCTCAGAAAGGGAAACAGAATAGAGTGTGTTACACTGAATTGCAAAGATGAAATTAGTCAAAATTCAGACTGACAGGAAGTTTACAAAACAACCCAGTTCTTCAACAAATACATTAAAAGAAAGAAAAATGATAGAGCAAGAGCCTATAGGTTAGAAGAGACCTAAGTATAACCAATCACAACATATGCATCTTAAATGGATACAGACTCAATCAAATAAAAGTATCAAGTAATAATAGTAGATATCATATCAATAAATCATCACATTTTATGTTAATAATCACATTATTTATGATAAAAAGAGTTATTTTTTAAAAGAATTATTTTATTTATTTTACTATTACTATTTTTTAGTTTTTTTCTGGAGAGAGACAGAAAGTGAGAAGGCAAGCCACCAGATCCAGGATTCGAACCACAGTCAGCCATGTGGGAAACCAGCACCTTAACCACCACACCACCTGCTGTCCCCAAGAGTCCTTCTCTCTAAAGATATGTAATAAAATTTTTATGGAAGAAATAATATGATGTCTACAATTCGTTTCAAAATGATGTGGACAGGAAGAGAAGAGGAGTAAACAGGGTGTGGATGGAGCACTGGTTCTGAGGCCGAGTGATGGGAAACAGTCACTGTATCATTCTGTCTACTCCTGTAGGCATATGTAGACACATCAAGGGGTCTTTCCATAGAATAAAGGACAAATATCGTACATATATATTCTATTATTCAAATGTTTATCTACTCTGTTATGATGGGTAAAATACAAATTCAATTCTAAAATAATACTGCTCTTCCCCAACAAGGTCAGGGCCCAGAAGGCTGGAAAGCAGAAATGAAGTAAGCAGTGGGGCAAAGCTGTGCTACTGAAAAGACCTGACAAAGTTGAAGTCAGTGATCATGTCAAATCCTTGACAAAGGTGTTCATCCAGGAGCTCCCAGCACCAAACACTTGAGCGTTAGGAACAATTTCGCATCACCTCTGCAATCTCCAAAATTAAATTCTATTCTGTCCCCAATTCTAAACATAACTAGCCTTTATTATGCCAAATACTAATACGTGTTTTTTAAAGTTAGCAATGCATTTCAATTCTAAACATAACTAGCCTTTATTATGCCAAATATTAATACATGGTTTTTAAAGTTAGCAATGCATTTCATTGTTATAGGAAGATCCCAAAATGGACATTTTCAAAGGAAAAAAAATTAACAATGAGCTATGTACATGCTTCAGCTAAGTAAATACAAGAGAGCTACATTTTGAGAATGTAATCAAATGGGGAGAGAATATGGAAACAAAGGCACAGCCAGGACCTAAAGCAAGCCATCAAAATGCGCTGGTTTGCAAATAACTCATTCCTTACCCTATTACATCAATCACCTTCAAGAGTTCAGAGTCAAGCAGCATGGAAGCAGAAATAGGCTCCCAGAGATTATCACTTGCTATGATTTTCACTTTCTGGAATCCTTGATAGTTCAGCATTTTTCTTAACACCTTTCAGAGAGATAAACAAAACACAGGAAAGGATACAAATGAGTTTTTAGCTCATTTTAGTTTGAATTACAATAAAATAGGTACAATAACTTCAAAAATAAGCATTCTGGAAAATATTTCAATATTATTTCGCAGTAGAAATGTGTTTCCAGTGGGGGGAAAAATAGTATTATCATTAAAATAATCTGCCTTGGGTGAGGTAGTTAAGGCACTGGACTCCCACATGTCCAGCGCTCTCCGAGTACCAGTCCTAGTGGCCTGTAAATCACACTGAACACATGTGCATGTTTGCCCAAAATCCCAGAAAGCAATGGAGAAGGGACTGTGGCATGGCCATACCCCTGGGGGGTGATTTCTCACTTTCCCTCTCTCTCTTTGTCTCTGTCTCTCTCTAGAGAGTACATGTGCCCTATGGCAAAAACATAAAAACATTAACAATAATAACCTACCTCATAAACATGCAAGATGGGGAAAAAAATCAAAGGGGTAAAATCCTTTTGGAAAGACCAGCAGATGACCTGGTAGTTAAGGCACTGGATCCCATATGGTCAACAGCACAGTTCGAACCCCAGACCTGGCAGCTTGAAAAAAATGACAGGTGTATGTGCATGCATGCCCAAAACCCAGGAGGAGGATGGAGGAGAAGGAACTGCCATGAGACCACTTTCCCTGGGGGTTCTTTCTCTTTCTCTCTCTCTCTCTGTCTCCAGTGACCACATGTGCCCGGTAACAAAAATTTTTCTTTAATTCTTTTGAAAGGATATTTCCCTTTGATTTAAAAAAGTATGTTTAACTACAGAAAGGATCAGTAGAGAGGAGCAGAGAGCATAAATAAAAACCATCAAATAGTACTGCCTGGAAAGAATCACTATTAATTTGATATACATTCTTCTAGGAGTTTCATTTTCAGATATAATAACAAAATAGGGATTATATTAAAAATACTATTTGATAAAATGCTTTGACCTATCATTTTAAGTATTTTCCAGTGCCTTTAAATATTCTGCCATTATCAAAAATATATTAACATCTTGTACCATACTAGAAGTAGACATCAGAAATAGGCCACTCTTATCTTCATATCTTTCACACTTATCAACAGGACAGAAAATTAAAAATCAACATATAGGGCTGCCCACTCACAAAAATTAAAAGTAAAAAGCTGTATTCTCACAGGAAATAAGTCAAGAAACACGGACTGAGCGCCTTCTGTGTACTTAGTACTGTGTGTGGCCCCATGAGGCGACAGAAGAAACACAAGAGGGAGCCCTCGGCCTTCGGTGGCAAACACTCACCAGGACATCATAACTAACAGGTCAGGCTGGAAGATCAGAGAGCAGGGACATACCGAAATGTATGGGTTGTCCATAGGTAAAACAAGCATAGACAAAGAAAGACATCATTTCTGCCAGAACTAGGAAGACAGGATTCATAGGAAACAGTTCTTGGTGAACGGATACAAATTAAGCCCAGAGCTATTACAGCCCTAAGCACTTAAAAGTGCCTGCTACACAGTTAGCAGGTACTCAATAATAGCAGTTGGATTAATTAGGTTAAAAAAAGAACAAAGAATTTCACAAACTCTCTTTTTACATTCTAACTTTTCTGAGCTATGTAAATTCCCAATTAATATGCTCTTTTAAGAGGCAAATAAAATCTCTAATTAAATCCATGGTGCACTTTACAATGGATGGTTTCTTAAAACTGATGTAAGGTAGTATTCCAGAAAATGCAATAAAAATGAGAGTGGCAACCCCAGTTCATCTTTCAAACAGGTCAGCTGAGCTCTAGGGCACCCGGGATGCACTACACAGAACTACAACAGTAAACAGACCAGTTCTCAAGATTCAGCAGGGTTTAGAGCCCCCACCCCTCTACAGGGGACAAAGGGGATAAATCTTGAGTTTTGTCACATTGAAGTTCTTTCTTATTCTTACAGAGAAAAGGGAGGGCGAATTACTCAAATTTACATTTATCACGATGGATATATCTGGTAAAATTGTCTGTTTACTTTTTGAATACAGTATATTTGAATAATATTCCAAAATGTAGAAATGTATATAAGCTGTGATTTATAAATTCCCATCTCAAAGTCAGTATGAATAGCTGCATTCTTTGAGCAAATTTTATCTAACATATTGTTGAATGCTGTTTTTGTTTCCCTTCCAAAAGCCAAAGCATATATGAAAGGCCTATTTGTAAAACAAATGAAAGAGAAGCTCTTCTGGTTGAACTCAATGAAGGTCCAGAGTCTCACATACCCATTTTCTTCCACCACCTTCAGAAATTAGATGGCATTTTCTAGAAGCAATCTTAAAATTCTAAGAATAGCACTGAAAACTAGAGTAAAGCATAAATATAACACAAACAGTTAAAAAAAAAAAAACTTAAAAAAAATACCCTTGTCACCTTTACATAAATCACTTATTTGTATCATATTTAGTTCTATTCCTAAAAATCCTTGTTCTTTCCTGGCATCATTTTAATATGCTATATTAAATATATATATTTATTAAAATGATCCAACCTGGGGCCTGCAGGTGACATAGTGGTTAAAGGTGTTGGGCTCCCACATGGCCAACTGCAGTTCAACACCTGGACCCAGTGGCTTGCTTTCTCAATTTCCCTCTCTCTCTCTGTCTCTCTGTTTTTCTCTGGTCAAATTAAAAAAATAATAATAAACAAAGTTAAAAAAATAATTTCTTTTAAAAAACCATCGTTATCAACCTGAGCACCTACTTTCATTTGTCATTACTGAACTCTTTACAATAGGCCTTTCAACAAACAGAACACAGATCCCAATAAAATACTGCAAAAATGACAAACACAAACTAAAAGTTTTTATATCCTAAGACATTTTGCTGCAGGAAAACTAAAGGTTAAGAGAAAAAGAATTGATGCCTGAATGGTTTAAAACACTAAGAATGAGTCTTACAGAAAAATTAGTTTTTCAACAAGGTAAGTTGAATCAGAATGCACTGGCACTGGAGAAAGAGAGAGACAAAGACAGAAAGATGGTGAGAAAGAGAGAAATCACACCCCAGCGAGGATGGCCATGCTGCAATCCCTTCTCTGTTCCCCTCCTGGGACTTTGGGTATGCATGCACATGCACACAGTGTGAGTTTCAAGTCACCAAGTTCAGGCTTCAAACTGCAGTTGGCCATAAAAGAGTCTAGTACCTTGGCCACCACGCCACCTGGGGTCCCAGTGTTTCGTTTCTTAAAAAACATGAATAGTGGTAAGTACTTCATAGAGGCAGCTGTAAGAATTAAATAAATATTTATGAAAAGCAGTTCAAAGAAAACACTTTGCAAATGTTAGTGGTTATCTCTTTGCTAATCACAAAGAACAATACACTACAAAACACAATCTAGTATAATAGGCATTCCAAAGAAGACAGGAATGGGAATTTATGCTACAAATTATGATACCATGAAACAAAAAAGCTACATTTCTCAAAGTCATCAAAGTCTCAAATGATGCAACTGTTTTTACAATGTTTACAGAATTCTATAACTAGTAATTTTTTTTTTTTGGAGAGGTTTTTGCTATAGGGTGCGTGCGCTCGCCAGACAGAAAGCAAGAAATCACCCCCCAGGGGGGATGGCCACGCCACAATCCCTTCTCCTCTATTCTCCTCTCGGGATCTTGGGCACACACGCACACGTGCCTGGCGTGAGTTTTAAGCCACCGGGTCCAGGATGCGAACCACGGTCGACCACGTGGGAGTCCAGCGACATAGCCATTACGCTAACTGCTTGTCCCACTAGTGAATTTTATTTTTGTCACAGGTAGCAAAATGCATAACTATGCTATAAAGATACCAGGTACATACTATATAATCCAGCTAATTTCAGTGTGTGGAGCCATAAAGAATTACTCACTGATAACTTAAAGACAGATATTTAAACAGTACAGACCTTGATATAATTGATGTCAAATGCCCTCTCGTTCCAAATCTGAAAAGCAAGATGTCAAAGAAGACTGAATTGAAAGTTTTTGCATGTCAGAAAGCAGACATTATCATTAAGGTGCCTCTTCTCCCGTTAGCTTTCAAATTCTCTGATAAACCAGTTTTCTTAGCTTACGCAATATCCTGCCATAGAGTTTATAGTTATTTATAAGACAACATAATTTATTTAAATTAAAATGTTATTTTTAAAACCTTAAAACATTTAGAAAATATTTTTCAAAATGTCCTTTATTCTAGAGATTTCTGGCAATGGAATATTCATTCATTCATTCAACAAACATCAACAGTGCAATGCATGCCAGGGACTATACCAGGCACAGGAGGATGAAAAGATTGGGAACTGCTGTAATAATTCTAACAAGATCCCTCTAGGCATATTCAAAAGTCACGTTAGTAAGTACACTGCACATAAGGAATCGTTTTAAGCACAGAGAATCACAGTGACATGCTAGATCACAAAATCAAATTCTTAATGAGAACAGATAAAAGGAACAGATACCGATCTCTTAGGTTTAGAATTATGAAGCATGGGGCTTTAGAAGTGGAAGAGAATTTCCATGACTTTCATTTTGCAGTTGAGAAAACAGTCAATAACAGAGGGGAGTCTAAAGTCCAGGTGCTAGTTCTGTTTATTCCAATGATAAAGGAAGGAATTTCTTATCAGAGAAGATCCTAAATAAGATGTCAATCAACTATTATTAAAAACACCTTCCACATGTGACTAAACCATAATAGAAAGCTATCAGACCCAGGTCTACATCTGGTTTCACTATGGGCTATAAAAATGCCCTGACATTCAAGAAAGTTCTCAAATACAAACTGATTTTTAGTTACAATTGGCTTCTAGCGTCCTACAGCCCTGGTTCACCCTCATAGCCTGTGTCATCCTGTGATACTGCAGTTTATTCCGGAGTCTGACTCTCTTACTAACTCCTACAGAGTTGATTAATCTTAATACTCCCAGAACATCAGAGTCATAGTTCTGTAATGCACAGAGCTTAATATGGTGTCAGAAAAGCCGAGAGGTATTATTTTTCTATGCAAAAATGTATCACAACTTTTCCAACAACCCAACGAATTGCTTGCTGATAAATCTAAGCCATGATTGCATGATAACTTTTACATGTCAGTTTTGAAAGAATGCATATGAATAATGTTGGCTTAGTCACAGTGGTGTAGGCAGTAAGGTTTCTGCTGTATAGTGCTGGGGTTGGATTTCTGGTTGAACTGAATATACCAGACACATCACACACTTCTGGGTACCTATCTGTCTCTTTCTCTGTATCAATAAAGCAAGAAAGAAACATAAAAAACAACCACCACCACCACCAAAAGAAGACCCACATGTTCATGGAGGCCTACTGTGTGTATGTATAAAGCCCTGCAGGGTAAAATGTAGTCTGAAGCCTACCTCCAGCCTTCCTACAGACCAGCTGGAAAAAACAATATCATGTTTTATACTTTTTGAATTGTTAAAGGATGTTAAATAACAGTTTAGGACAGGGAGAGGCAGATTTCAGTTGGCTTGCCAAAACTGGTCTACCATCTAAATTTTTATAGCCTGAGAGATAAAATTAGTCTTTAGTTTTCCTTTTTTGGGGGGGAGAGGTTTTTGCTATAGGGTACGTGCACTCGCCAGAAAAACAGAGAGAGACAGAAAAACAAAAAGCAAGAAATCATCTCCCAGGGGGGATGGTCATGCTGCAATCCCTTCTCCTCCATTTTCCTCTTAGGATCTTGGGCACACACGCACATGTGCCCAGCCTGAGTTTAAGCCACCAGGTCTGGGACTCAAACCGCAGTCAATTACATGGGAGTCCAGCGACATAGCCATTACGCCAACTACTGGTTCCCTGTTTTTGGTTTTAGAAAGTTACATTATAAATGGTTATATAGTTACTTTAAAAATATCTTAATACTGCCTTTGGGGGTCAGTAGGTGGTGTAGTATATAAGGCACTGGAGTCTCACATGGCTGACGAAGTTTCAAGTCCTGGACCCAGTGACTTGAAACTCATGAGAGGCACATGAGTGTGCATCCCCAAAATCCCAAGAGTAAAATGGAAGAAAAGGGATTGTGGCATGGCCATCCCCCCTGGTGGGGGGAGGGATGATTTCTCACTTTCTTTCTTTCTAACTCTTCTCTCTGTCTCTCTGGCGAGCACATTTGCCCTGTGGCAAAAATATCTCCAAAAATAAAAAATAAATAAATAAATAATTGCCTTCCAGCCCATGAATGCAAAAATACTTATACTCCAGCCCTTTAAGAAAACGTATGCCAATACCTGGCTTAGGACAACAACAGAAGACTCACAAAATAAAATAAGAATGTTCATTAAACTGTAAAGGAAATATAATATTGTCAGAGCTAAAGAAACTCGAGAAAGCCTTGAAGAAGAATTGAGTTGGTTACAACAACAACAAAAATGTAAAGAAACAGTTCAGAGAAGGTATGTACACTGAGTATACATATACCTTCAAAAGTGGTAAGAATTTGGATGGGCAAAGAGGGGGAATATAATAAAAGATTACACATAGTTAATTTGTGTTCCTGACAGATGCCAATAGAACCATCTAGTTTTGTGCCACAAAACAGTTAATCTGCTGGCAAAGTGCCACAGGATCGAATTACTTTGAAAAGAAACAAATCAATGTTGGAAAATGAATTATAATGTAAATATGTTACTAACTCCAACATAATCAATGTCCAGGTCGTGATAATGCTTGGCACCCGCAATCCAGGTGACGACATAGTAGGCAGTGAGCTCCAGGTTTACGTAAGGCCAGTTGAAACCTTTTCCCAGCCATCCAGGGAAAGACCACGGCAACCCTGCAGAGAGAGAGAGGAAGGGGCAAGGGAGGAGCGGTAAGACAGGGCTGGCACTGCTGAGACAGAACAAAACCCAACAAAGCAAAAAGCATTTAAACAAAAAGCCAATATAGATCTGACTAAAGAAAAGGTTATATAGCGAACCATACAGAAATCCCTGGAACACCTTCCAATCCATATACACAAATTCCTTATCGATCCCTAGTCAGGTCCCATAGTTGCAAATGTTCTTCCAAGAAAAGGCAATAAATACAAACAGCTCTCTCAAAAGACACTTATCGATAGAAAGAAATGTATCATACATTTTAACTTAACATCCCCACTCTCAGGATGTTTAAAATTCAACATCCATTCTCTGAGGTCAAAGCAAAGAAGTCCTAAAGGTTTATGCTAAACTACTCCTATGACTTAAATAAGATACAAATTTCTAATTCATTAGTAAATCTTGAATTCTAATTCAAATAATTACTTAAAGCCTTAATCAATCAGGCAATCAAATTTAACAAAACTAGTTTGTCCTATATCAATAGAAATGCCAATGACTAGATAAAACAAAATACCTTTGTTAAGTAATATACATCAAATAATCCCATAGTCTTCTAATAACCCTGATTATTATTTTTAAGTTAAAAAAATGAGAAGAGTAGAAAAGCATTAACTACATTCTAAATACAAATTCTGCTGCTAACATATTAAAATAAGCTTAATATTGGGTCATGAGGAAGTCATGATGCATTTTTGCATAGAAAAATACATCATGACTTTCCTGACAATCTAATGTTAAATTATTTCACTGTTAAATATATTACCACCCTAGTTCACCACAGAAGAAAATAAAAATTTTTAAAAATGCTTGTTTTTCTAAACTCAGAAGAAATGCCTAAATGTATCACATTAAGAAATGTGACATTAAAACAATGCAACATTTCAAAATGATGAAACGCTAAATACAATCTGAAGACCCACCATGTGTAACTCTTTGTTAGGACAGGGTTTAGCATGCCAGATTAACCTTGGAAGCAGACTGATGGGGGAGTATTTACTGAATTCAACGGTACTTTTACTAACCAAAACATTTCTGGAATCTTTTACAAAAATCCATGTAGAAGAACACTCTCATACACTCTCATTCCTCAACTTCTTCAATCAAGAAAATATTACTCTTATCCTTTGATTGTGGAGACAATTATCTTTTTTTTTTTTTTGAGAGGTTTTTGCTATAGGGCACATGTGCTCACCAGATAGAGAGAGAGACAGAAAGCAAAAAATCGCACCCCCCACAGGGGATGGCCATGCTGCAATCTCTTCTCCTCCATTCTCCTCTCGGGATGTTGGGCACATATACACACGTGCCTGGCATGATTTTTAAGCCACCAGGTCTGGGACTCAAACCATGGTTGACTACATGGGAGTCCAGCGACATAGCCATTATACCAACTATTGGTCTCAATCTTTTAAATGTTTTAAGACTTCTAAAGTTAAGTCTTTAAAATAGTCATTAATTTCATTTAACTTGGTCTGAATGTAAGCCAGTTTCAAAAACTCAAATTCATTTCAAACGAGTGGGGCATCCCCACTGTGGATGTTTTAAATACTTCATGGGCTCTGTATACACTGCTACAGAAAGGTAAAATGTGTACAGTCCCATTTGAGCAATTATCCAATGATCCTACTGATAGAACCTAAGTTCCTAGGGACGGGAAATGAGGACTGGGTTTTCTACTGTCTCCAGTCTCTTGAATACCAACCAACACAATACTGAGGTTCAAAAACAAACAAATACTTTTATAAGTACCTCTTCTAGAAATGGGATTTTACTATGGCATAAATTATACAATTCTATAACTAGTATTGCCCTTTCACAAATTTTGGAGGGATTTTGTAGAGGAAAGTAGCTTAGTATCAAAGAAAAAAAAATACAAGCATTTTAAACCTGACTTGGCCATTTGCAGTCTAAGACCTTCAATCAATTTAATAACCTCTCCAAGCCTCACTGTTTCTTCTGTAAAACAAAAAGAAAAAAATTTTACTCCAGAGGTGTGAATTATAATTATAGAGGGCGAGATGGTGGCAGAATGGTACAAAATAAGCTGTTTTCTCTACAAGGCATTCCCACTATGCGAAGGTTCCTGATTCAGGTCTAGAGCCCTCCCTGAGTACGAGGCACACGCTTGCCGGTGATCTAAAGCTGTGAAGGTTGAACGTGGATTACCATATCAAGACCCCATGGGGGTTCTCTCTTTTTCTCTTTCTTCCTTCAAATAAAAAAATTAATAAAAGAAAAAAATATATATATATATATACATATCAGGGTAAAGAAAGAATCATGCCTGCCACACAATTTGCTGCTGGTAGCATACTGGTGGTATTAACGTTATTAGTACTTCAGTATTAATAGAAACTACACCAGCATGATTCAGAATTTAAAAGTTAGAGGAAAAGAGACTGTAGAAATATTACAAACTTCACTTCTCACCAATGAGTGTAATATTAGGGTTCCTCTTCTTAGCTTCCTTCATCAACCACCACTCATATCCTCGGAAGTAATTCTCATCAAGCGCATAGTGCATGTGGGAGGGTTCAGTGCCATCTGAGTAGAGGAGAGCAAAACAGAAAGGAAATGATCCATGAATGGGGCTTCCAGGGCCACTCTCCCCTTTTCTCTCTCTCTCTCTCTCTCTCTCTCTCTAGCACACACTCACATGTATACATACACACACACTTTTCACAAAGCAGTATTCCATTTCTAATCTTCAAAGTTGGGCAAATAATAATATTTAACTTAAGGATGAATAATCCAAGTATATTATTTTAACCTTTTCATAAGTCTAATCATTGCAAAGGTATTAAATAACAAAACCATCATTTTCTACTATCAGCAGTATTAATAGAAATGTTATCAATTCATAGAAAATTCCTAGGATTGGGATCAGCAGATGGCATAATGTTTAAGTTGCCGGACTCCCACATAGTCAACCGCAGTTCAAATCTCGAACCCAGTAGCTTAAAACTAACTCACAGTGGGCACATGTGCATGCATGCCCAAAATTCTGAGAGAATAGAGGGGAAGGGATTACAGTGTGATCATCCACTTTCTGTCTCTGCCTCTGTCTCTCCAGCAATCACGCATGCCCTATAGCAAAAAGTCTTTCTCTCTCTGTCTCTCTCTCTCTCTCTCTTTCTCTCTCAAAAACAAGCAAAGAAAATTCCTAGGACTACATTCTGCTGGGCTTTTGATGTTTCTGAGGTTCTCAAATTCCCATATTCAACTTTAAGTTGACATTACTTCAATTATTTCTAGCCTTTCAATTTTAGATGTGAATCCCTGGGCTCCTGAGCCCCAATTCTCCTATTATTCTACATCTTGAGCTCATAACATGTCTTCGTATAGCACAGAATAGGCAAAAATCCCCACCAAAGCAATAACAATATTCTACACTAAATCTCTAGCTAGGTGAGGCAATGAAGCAGGAAACTGACATCAAGGTCTTCGTGTGTTCTTATATTTCACAAAAAGTGCCCTTGCCAAGTTGAGCCTGAGAAGAATAGAGACTATTCCCATTTCTTCTCAACAGTAAACATCAGAATTCACAAAAACTAACTGCTTATGTATCTTAACCTCCAATTTAGCTTTAGCACATGAAGCTGGACAATCATCATCAATTTAACACAAGTTTAGACAATAAAATACATGTCTTCTTGCAATAGATTAGGGAAAGTTTCCATTATGGGAATTGTCATTTGGATTTTTTTTTTTACATTTTTTTCTTTCAACATAAATTAAACACTAATACCACCACATAGATATAGCTATAATATTAAAAAATTATTTCCAAATCACTAACAAAAACACAAGTCCAATTATGTGTTGTTTAATGACAGGGATACATTCTGCGCAATGCAATTTAAGTGATTTCATTGTGGTATGACCATCATAGAGTATACTTGTACAAATATATGTGGTATGGTCTACTACACACCTAAGTTATATCGTATACTCTTACAACGTCATGTGTGTGGTCTGCTGTTGACTGAAACTTCATTAAGCAGTACATGACAGTATGCAGAAGGTACTCTACAGTTCATTATAATGGAATCTGACCTATAAATGATAAGCTATATCTAATCACTTAGAAAGTTAAATAAGTTTTTCTTCTTTCTGGAAATCAGAGGTTTACAAACTGCTGATTGATAACATGTTCCACAAAAAGCCAACAAAATGGTGACCATGAAGACTGAAGATTGAGTGGTTAAAATAATTTTGTCCCGAAAGGAAAAAAGACTTTATATAAATATGTATGAAATAAACAATTTGAAGTCTGAATACTGTTTTTGATAGACAATTCGTATTTCTTATAATTTTTAAGTAATTACAGTAAAAAAAAAACAATAACTAACAATCTACAAAATATTTAGACTCCAAAGAGTTGGTATTATTTATTTTCTGAAATTGTACATGATACGGTATAGAATAAAACGCTGGGGGGATAAATTTGATTTCACAAGCGCTTTTACCTGTTGTCTGCCCATCACCACCTATTTCAACTTTCAGAATATGCAGAGAAGCACCAAAGTTTGGCTGTGGAAAAAAGTAACAGAATTAACACTGTGCTTCATCACATGAAGCTTCAAGACAATTTCTAATTACTGACTTTAGCTTTTTTTTTTTTTTTTTGAGAGGTTTTCACTATAGGGCACGTGCGCTCGCCAGACAGACAAAGAGAGACATAGAGACAGAAAGCGAGAAATCACCCCCAGGGGGAATGGTCACGCCGCAATCCCTTCTCCTCCATTCTCCTCTCGGGATCTTGGGCACGCACGCACACGCGCCCGGCGTTGAGTTTTAAGCCACCGGGTCCAGGACGCGAACCGCAGTCGACTACGTGGGGGTCCAGCGACATAGCCATTACGCTAACTGCTGGTTCCCATTACTGACTTTAGTTTTATAGGTGAGAAAACAAAAGCAAAACTTCAAATAACAAGTTATTTCAAAAGGAACCTGTCATTTTTTCCAAAAACTAGAAATGTGAAGCACGTAAAAATTCTAAGGGTAAAATTAGCATACAGTTTCCAAAATATCACAGGTATCATTAAATAATTATTTTTTCATTACCTTAAAGAGATAATCCAATATTTGAGAACGATAGGGCTCTGGATAATTTACTAGAAGTCGGGAGGTTGCCTTAGAAAAATAAATAAATAAATAAACATATCAGTAAAACAAATCCAATCATGAATGCTTGTCTACAGTGTTCATTACCACCACCTTGCGTCCCCATACCTAGCGAGTTCTCGGGCAAGGCTGAACTGTCCAAAGTCAGTTTCTACATTTTTTTTTTGCCAACCCTTGTTTTGAAAATCACTAGATGAGTAGAGCCACTGTTTACCTACTAGAGGAAAGATTCTCTTCTGCTGGGATGAGGGTTCTCTTTGAGGTAAACTTGCTAATTATATAGTTGAATCTCATGATTAGAAACTTATCTTAAAGCTTAGGTTTTCTATCTTAAGACTATTTTCAGTAACAATATCTTTGGGCTACAATGGGTAGGATGAATCTCGGGTCATTTTTCACCTCAATGTCTTACAGGACAGTAGCATAAGCAGAAGGCCCAGCCTCAGTGATGTAATCAGTACCGTACTGAACATTAGTGCCGGAAGCCATGACTGACCATGGGTTTGGAATTCCAGCCTCTTGACTTGAAACATGCCAGGCACATGCATGTGTGTCCAAGATCTTGAGGAGGTAGGGGGCTGGGGTAAAGGGATCTCAGTGTAGCAAGACCCTGTCAAAGGTGCTTTTCTCTCTCTTTATTTCTCTTTCTCATCCTCTATAATGAGTAAGATTTTTTAAATTAAAAATATATGTATATTATAAGCAGCAATACTGAAAGGAAACACTACTCCTTATCTTTATAAGTTTTATCTGTTACTATTAAGGATGCTCACACAACAATTCCCTGACCAGATTATAGTAAGTAAATCTCACACAAAACTGGCACCAGAATGCATGGGAAAGAAAGAGTTGGAAAGTAAAAGGACAATAGTTGATCATACATAGACCATGGCCAATGACTGCTTGGAAAAAGAAATAACAAAACCAATAACTGATTGCTAATTTGTCCTTCAGAAAACAATAAGCAAGGCAAATAATAAAGGTAGGTTTTTAGCATGAAACATGTATGTCCCTAAACTAGGAAGCCAGACAACCCTAGGTTCAAACCACTGACACTGCCAGGTGTATGACAGGAGCAAGATACTTGATCTGTATGGACTCAGAGTTCTATTTTATAGTCTCATATAAGCTACCACTGACATTTTGGTAGTGTTCCTGTCTACTATCTCACACCCAAGACCTTCCCAGACATAGGGAGCTACTCGGCAGTCTCCCATCCCATTTAGCTCAACAAAAGCATTCTATCTAAGTCTACTCCTTCTGCATTTGCTATTTCATTAAAGAACAACATCTGCCCGAACCATAAATTTGAGATCATCCTTTCATCAAACTTCCCATCCATCTTCAGTCACCAAGATGTCCTTACTTCTCTCAAATCCATCCCCTGCTCTTTAGTCCCACTGACTTAACCTAGGTTCTCCACACACATTAAAATAGTATAAGTGGTCTCAGGGCCACCCCCCTTCCTTTATAGTCTATCCTCCACACTACCCAAAGCACACACGTAATCATGAATCTACTATGTTTTAACCTGCTAAGGTCTTCCCTTTCCAAACCACTTTCAAGATAAAGTTCAAATTGTTCCATTTTGTACCCAAATCCCTTGATCATCTGGATTCTAACTCGAACAGTTTACCTTTCTATCTACACATATTAAACTACTTTTCATCTTCTTTCTGTCTTAATGCACCCATAGCCCCATTTGGACAACTCCAATTCATACTTCAGTCTTCAGCTCAAGCTCCGCCTCCTCAAAGAAGGATGCTTTCTGCCATCTCTCCTTTCTTTTATGCAATTCTTTCAATAACTGCCCCCTTATTGTTCACCTCACTCTCTACCTTCTTCCATTGATTCTCTCAGCCTTGGGTTAAAGTCCTTCTGCTTAGGGGAGTCTAATCAATAAATCTCCATTTTGGTGATTAGAGTCCCCAACACTTCGCAGGCCACCCTCAGATGCTCCATGTTTATGGCTGTTCACTGGATGGAAGTTAGAGTTACCTCTATTCCTTGGAGTTAGAATCCTTAGCACTCCATTCCTTTCTCAATTCCAATTACACTGGATTGAAATTGGGTGATCAGTTTAGCAGGAAGTCCCAGATTATTTTATTTGCTGATATCCTGGCCCCCTGTAATCTATTCCCACACTACTCTTACCACCTTTGCTAAACTGCATGCAGCCAGGAACCTCAATTGCCCTGCCTGGCATTACGACTCTATCACTGTCTCCAGGACCTAACCGACTTTCGCCCCTGGGTTGTTTGCTCCACCACTGCAGGGATAAACACTGGAAGGGATGGGACCAGAAGGACCCGGTCCTTCTTTACTATTATCACTGCCTTGACAGGTGGCACCAACTGGAAACTAAAATTCTTTCTTTACCTTTGGTTCCTGAGAAGAAATCGAAGTTGTCTTCACCTGTTTCACTCAGTATCCTCAAGTCTTATCTCTCTCCTTGAGGCCTCTGACTGTTGGCAGTTTGGTAACATCGTCCCTTGGTACCTCTCATTCCTGAACCAGAATCCTAAATACTCTTTTCTATTCCTGCAAGTTCTGATACATCCTGGCCCTCAGGCCCCTACTGTTATGTCTACTCACCTCACCTCCCCTTTCAGCTACCCTGTCTGTTCAAACATTTCCTTTGTCAGATACTCTACATAGGTGTCCAGAAGTTTCACTTGGCTAGTCACCTATCCATTGCCCACGTGCGTGACCAACAAATTGCAAAGCTCCCTTCTAAATAATAAATGAATACGTGGTCCTTACCCTACTCTCCTCTCTGGAAGGGGAAGTGGGGAAAGACCTTGCTTGCCCAAATTCAGAACACCTCACTGTCTTACAGGCAATCCTTTCAAAACTGGGGACCACAAGCATTCCAAAGGACTCTTTTCTAGGGCGCCTCTTAAGTAACTAGAATAAATTCAAATGAGATGGACTGCAAAGAAGGTGTTTCCTACAACACAGCCCGGCCCCAATACAGGGTTTGTCGGTATGATTTAATGGCTCATTAAATTATAATACTGTCTGACAACTCAATCTGTTTTTCAAATGAGAGAGGAAGAGGGGGGATGTCTCTCTATCAGGACACAGAACCAAGGAACAATTGTAGGATGTACTTGGCCCATATCCACCTTGGGTCCTCAGCGTTACCTCAAACATCCTCAATAATCCAGTTGGGGGCATGCCTCTAGGAAACATCCTCCAGAGCCTACTGGAACCTCCAACTTTGAGGGGAGTTCTCAGGATACTTCCATTCAAAGTACCAGCTCATCCCAGAACTCTCTAACAGGCTCACGGGACTCTCCTCCTCTATACCCTACCAGCCCCAAATTATACCCCCCTGCTTCCCAGAGAACTTAGTCCCACTAGCAGTGCCTGAAGCAGAATCTCCTATCAACCTCAAAAAGAAAACCTATGCTCACTACATGTGGGTGCTAGTGAAGAGGGGGGAACTCTTAGGGCACACGCACCCCTTTCCATGTCTGATTTAGCCTATGCAAGAAGAGATTTGGCTAATTTTCAGCAGATTCAGGGAAATTTTCAGAATAACTTATTAAATTATGTCCTTATATTCAACCTGGTAAGATTTACACCTGTTATTGTTCACCTGCTGTACAAAGTAAGAGAAACAGACCACCCTGGGTTCAGCTAGAAATATGCTGATAGTGTAGGCACCTGTAACCCAAATCATAACATCTATCAGGTAGTGGGAGATGTAGTCCCTAATCAGGACCCCCAGTGGAAGTATCAGTGGAGTGCCCAGGATCTTGAACAAAAGAATCCCATGATAATTTGCTTAGTACAGAGTAGGAAAAACACGTACAGTTAAACCTGTGAGTGATGACAAAGCTTAGAGAAGGGACTCAAGAAAAGGATGAAAACCAACTCCTATTTCAGGGCCAACTGACAGAAGCAATTAGAAAATATACTAGTGTAGACCCTGAGTTCCTAAGGGTGAGCCATCCTGGGTATGCGTTTCATCACCCAGTCCACCCCAGACATTAGAAGGAACTATAAATGGCTACTCTGGGATCCCCGGTTCCTATAAGTCAACTTTTAGATAGAACCTTTGGAGCATTTAACAATGGTAATAAGATCAAAGAAGCAGAAAAGACTCAAAGAAATAAGCAGAAAGCACAATTGCTGGTGGCTGTTTTAATCAGGCAACAAACCCCAGAGAGACTACCCTGAACTGAGACCCGGAAGGCCCAGACTGCAGCCCCCATCACACCATTCCCCTAATAACAATGGTTCTCATCATTGTAAGCAGGAGGGTCACTGGAATATAGAACAGCCCTAGCTGGCAAAGTGCCCCAGTGGATCCTGTCCTCTTTGCAAATGCAAGGGGCACTGGAAAAGGACTGTCCCCAGTTCTGAAAGGAACTTGGTGCAAGACTGCTGAGGACTGATAGAGCCCGAGGCCCCTATGGCTCCTGCTGAGCATTTTACTGTCATTCTGGGAGATCCTCCATAACCTCTGACTGGGCTGGGAATAATGAATTCTTATTGGATATGGGAGCTGCTAACTCTATTTTGACCCATCTTCCACAGCCATTATCTCCTCAATCCTGTATGGCCAATCCGAGTTTAGATTTACCCCTTCCCTCACATTCACCTGTGGAGATTATCCCTTTTCTCATAAATTCTTACTCATGTCTAAACATCTAGTCCTCTCTTAGGATGAGATTCATTTGTCAGACTGCAGGCCACAACAAAAATCCTTAAAACCGGAAAACAAAGCCTAGAAGAAAACCAGCAATGTTTTAGTCAAAAGTCATAAAATGCTATTTCACCAGTTCAGTTTCATATACTTAATCTATCTTCTGTTGTGGTTTGATCTTCCCAATTAAATTCTGGGATATAATATTCAACTCCAGATTTGTCCCTACGATTAAGTTAGCCATATATTCAAGGAGCCAGAAGATGGCATAGTGGTTATGTTGCTGGACTCCTACTCAGTCCAAGTCCTGGACCTGGCAGCTTCAAAACAACACTGGGCATATGTGCGTGTG